ATCTGGCACTGGCTGATTCACACTTTTGGTCCCTCTCGCTCAGTACCGCCTATATGAGTGTACTAACAAGTACTAAAAAAAGATCAAAAGCCTGAGAAAATGAAAAAGGCATTAAATAAATATTAGGCTAGGCAGGTATTACCCCAAAAAAAAAAAAAAAAGCCAATAGACGTTCATGAGGAAACTGATACTGGGAAAGACTGGGGCTTCCAATCATTCAAATAAAGTGGAAGGAATGGAACACAGAATAGTCGAATTGGAAGGGACCCCAAGTGTCATGTAGTCTGACCTCCTGCAGTGCAGAAGAAGAGTTTGGATTTGATATCCTGCTTTATCACTACCCGAAGGAGTCTCAAAGCGGCTAACATTCTCCTTTCCCTTCCTCCCCCACAACAAACACTCTGTGAGGTGAGTGAGGCTGAGAGACTTCAGAGAAGTGTGACTGGCCCAAGGTCACCCAGCAGCTGCATGTGGAGGAGCGGAGACGTGAACCCGGATCCCCAGATTACGAGTCCACCGCTCTTAACCACTACACCACACTGGCAGGAATCACAGCTGAAGAATCCCTGACAAATGGCCATCCAGCATCTGCTTAAGGAGGAGTTCACCAGCTTACGCCAGTGTAAGAAGCAAAGATCACCAGTGTTGAAGCAATGATTCTTCAACATCAACTTTGTTGGACTGGTCATGTTGTGCGGATGCCTGATGATCATCTTCCAAAGCAACTACTCTATTCCAAACTTAAAAATGGACAGCGTAATGCTGGTGGTCAACAAAATAGATTTAAAGACTCTCTCAAGGCAAATCTTTAAAAAATGTAGTATAAACACTGACAACTGGGAAACACTGGCCTGCGAGCGCTCCAATTGGAGAACAGCCTTTACAAAAGGTGTCATGGGCTTCGAAGATGCTCAAACTCAGGACGCAAGGGAGAAACATGCTAAGAGGAAAGCAAGCTTGGCAAACCCTTACTGTGATCAACTCCCGACTGGAAACCTATGTCTCCACTGTGGAAGGACATGTGGATCCAGAATTGGCTTCCACAGTCACTTACGGACTCACTGTTAAAACCGTGTTCATGGAAGACAATCTTATTTTGCTGCGAGTGATCACCAAGGAAGAAGAAGACCAGCTTCTGGGGTCCCACTACTGAACAACTCTTACTTTCAGAAAGGAACAATCATAATACAGTGGTACCTCGGGTTAAGTACTTAATTCATTCCTGAGGTCCATTCTTAACCTGAAACTGTTCTTAACCTGAAGCACCACTTTAGCTAATGGGGCCTCCGTGCAATTTCTGTTCTCATCCTGAAGCAAAGTTCTTAACCCGAGGTACTATTTCTGGGTTAGCGGAGTCTGTAACCTGAAGTGTATGTAACCTGAAGGTACCACTGTAATAAGTACAGGCTGAACATGGTGCAGGCAATACTTTTATAGGAAGGGAGTTAAGATCCTCTGGGATTTGAACTGCAAAGGTTGCAGCCATTGAATGGATTCCCCTCGCAGTGATCCATTCACAAAAGGAAGGGGAATTCATTTTGAAGTTCACTTTTTGGCCATATTTCGGTCCGAGTTCTACATTGTAGATCCAGTAACCCAGAAGGGTGTGAGAAGGCAGGTAGAAACATGAGACACTCTACTTTTGTCATGCTTTTACCAGCGTCTCACAACTTCTCTGAAGAACACAAGAAGAGCCCTGCAGGATCAGGCCAATGGCCCATCTAGTCCAGCATCCTGTTTGCAAGCAGGACCATCCAGATGTTTTGGATTACAGCTCCCACTATGCCTGAGCATTGACCATGCTGGCTGGGGCTGATAGGAGTTAGAGTCTATAACATCTGGCAGCATCAGGTTGAGGAAGGCGGCAAGAACTGTTTTCCACTAAGATTTCCAGTTCAGTGTTTGAAAGAGGCAATTGGGAGCTGCCATGTCTGAAATAATAGATTGCAATGGTCTCAAATAAAGGGCAACCTCAGCTGAATTTCACAAATAGATAAATATAGTTGCTTATAGGTGAGACCCTTCAATGCAACAAAAAAGTGAAAACAAATTAAACGTGATCCTGGTTTTTTTTAATTATTATTTTGCGCCGTTTGCATGGCTACGATATAGGTTTTTAAAACTTTTTGATCTTTTGAAGTAAACACTAAAAGCTAATTAAGGCATGAAATTAGCTGAGCAACTTAATAACTTAAATAATTCACGCTTTTTTGTAATATTAATAATTTATGTACATAAACAAGGCGAAAAGTTATCTGTCTCAATTTAATCTGCACCATGCATGTGTTGCTGCTGACTTCAAAGCCGTAGCAATTATTATCGAAACCAGTCATTTAAACTTCTCCGACACCCTGGTCATAGACATAATGTTTTTTGTTTTTTTTAAGAATATTTATTCAAATTTTAAGATTACAAAAAAAGAAAAAAGAAAACAAAAAAAACCAATCACATACATCTTACAAAAGAAACACACCATACAAGAAAAAAATACACAAGACAAAAAATCACAATAAAAAATAATAAAAGAAAAATTCAAATTAAACAAACCGTTTTCCCATTTACTTATTTCCGTGACTTCCTCTCACTTCTCTGCTTTGTATTCTAATTCAAATTGTATCTCCAGCAAATCCTTCTAGCCTTCTTTTCATTTACTTATTTTAACATTTTAACATTCAAAAATATTTAATTCTCCTCTATCTTTTAATTTACACTTCATATTTACTTAGTTCCATTATACTCTGTCTGCCAATACGGTCTAATATTTCTTCTCCCACTTTTCCTAACATTCTTTTATGTTACAGTGATTCTGAAGATATGTTTTAAACTTTTTCCAGTCTTCTTCCATCGACCCTTCTTCTTGATCTCGAATTCTTCCGGTCATCTCAGCCAGTTCCATATAGTCTATCACTTTTCTCTGCCATTCTTCTCGGGTAGGCAATTCTTGTGTCTTCCAATATTTCCCAATAAGTATTCTTGCTGCTGCTGTCGCATACATGAAAAAAGTTCTATCTTCCTTTCGCACCAATTGGCCGGTCATAGACATAATGTGCCAATAATATGCCAATGGAGATGCGGGTGGCGCTGTGGTCTAAACCACTGAGCCTCTTGGGTTTGCCTATCGGAAGGTCTGTGGTTTGAATCCACGCAACAAGGTGATCTCCTGTGCTCTGTCCCAGCTCCTGCCAGCCTAGCAGTTCAAAAGCACGCCAGTGCAAATAGATAAATAGGTACCACTGCGGTGGGAATGTAAACGGTGTTTCCGTGAGCTCTGGCTTCTGTCACTGTGTCCCACTGCGCCAGAAGCGGTTTAGTCATGCTGGCCACATGACCCAGAAAGCTGTCTGTGGACTTATGCCGGCTCCCTTAGCCTGAAGCAAGATGAGCGCCACACCCCGTAGTCGCCTTTGACTGGACTTAACCATCCAGGGGTCCTTTACCTTTTTTAACCTTTTATGCCAGTGTATCTGCCTGCAATGTGGTTGTGGAAGGATGTGTTGGGCTTCCTGGAGCATGTGTGCACATTAGCTGAGAGAGCTAGGCAGGAGAAGTGACAGGAGACACACGGCGGCCTGATGGTGTGTGAAAGGATTTGTCAGGAGCGACTCGGAAGTTGCTGAGTGGGGATGATGCTTTCCCTTAAGCCACCTGGCTGTTGGGGTCTTCAGGAAGGAGAGGAAGCCATGTCTTGAGCTGCTTAAGGCAATTTAATTTGATGGGAGGAGGCTTCAAGACCAAATAGGGCCAGTTTTGGGAGACCTTCAGTAGGTGAATCTGAAACTGATGGGAGGAGGCTTCAAGACCAAATAGTGCCAGTTTTGGGAGACCTTCAGTAGGTGAAATGGGTGAATCTGCCCGTTTCAGTTTATCTCATTTTTTAAAAATCTTAAACTTTGTCCTCTACATTTGCAATCATCATCATCACCATCAGTGCTTTTTTCTGGGGGGACGCAGGGGAATGCATACCTCTAAACATTTTGTGAATCTAACAGGAGAAGAAACTAAAAGTTTAAGAATTTTTAGTTTCTTCTCTAGCATGGTGAATCGTCAGTTCCGTTGCTACCCAAGATGGTGGCCTCATTTCCTGCCATGCTGTTTCCTGAGTCTCAGATGCAAGCGAGCGTTTAATGTGTGAAGCAGTGTGGAATATGTGTGGTGTTTTACTGATGAAAGTTTGGCCTCACTGAGGGGCAGTATTTCAATATGAGTAGGAAAATTACTTGAGTCAAAATGAGAGTACCCCTAAACATTTTTTTTTTTTTAGAAAAAAGCATTGATAATAATAAAAATTCACCAGCATTCCACTAACCTTTTGTGGTGGGTACCTCAAGAACAGACCCCCAATGATGACCTTAACAAACATGCACGTTTCTGCTGAAGTTTCCTGTTTGCAAGTGTTGAGAGCTATGCTCTCCCTCTCCTTTTTAGCACACGTCTTTTTGATGCTCTTCTTCCCTGCACCTTTATTGTACTTTATTCTTCTTGGCTTCCTTTGTCCTCTGCCTCAGTTTCCCACATGGCCATTCTTTCATCCCATCAGCTCAGCTGCGATTTGTATGTGTGGATGGTGTCACAAGTCCATATCTGCAATAAGGACGTCAGGGAAGCTTGTAAACAAAATCATTTCAGTCAAGTCAAATAATTATTTTAAAACCAGTCTCAACACACACATGTGCACATAGATCATAGAGCTGGAAGGGACCCTGAGCATCATCTAGGCCATGGGTAGGCAAACTAAGGCCTGGGGGTCGGATCTGGCCCAATCGCCTTCTAAATCCGGCCCGCGGAATCAGCATGTTTCTACATGAGTAGAATGTGTCCTTTTATTTAAAATGCATCTCTGGGTTATATGTGGGGCACAGGAATTCGTTCATTCCCCCCCCACACACACATATAGTCTGGCCCCCCACAAGTTCTGAGGGACAGTGGACTGGCCCCCTGCTGAAAAAGTTTGCCAACCCCTGAATTCTAGGCCAACCCCCTTCAATGCAAGACTATGTAGGTGTCCCATATGGGAATCGAACCTGCAACCTTGGTGTTATCAGCACCGCGCACTAACCAGCTGAGCTATTCAGGCTCGCTCTCTCACACACACGCTCATGAAGTTGAAGAAGAACTGGGCAAAGTGCAAGAAGCTTGTTCTCAGTGCAGGAGCAGCTTTGTAGGACAAATCAACAACAACATTCATTTTAGTAAGCATCAAATGGTTCTAGTGGGCTGTGTATGTGCTATTCAACATGACACGGATACCCACAGGCTGGTGAAGAACAACAGCTTCATTATTAATGTCACTGCCAGAGGTTACAGAGACCCCTGCAGGTACCCAAAATGTCCGAGAGTTTCGACTTCGCACCCTTGGCAGAGTTCTAACTTTCCTTTCCTCCCCTTCCTTTCTTTATTTGTAGCTTTTTGCCAAACAGAAAAGTGTGTGTGTGTGTGTTTTTGTGTGTGGCTCCCAGAGGACAGCCAATTGCTCTCAGCAATTCAACCCAGAATACACGGGGAGGTCAGCTGGAAAAGTTTGCTTTAATGCTTCTGTGCACTTGGATGTTTAAAGACACAATACCCATCTTCTGCTGAGATTTGCAGATGTATTCCTAACAGATGAACACCAGGTTCGCTGAACTGCTTTAACTCAATTGCCGCTGGTGGGGCCAGTGTTTTCAATTGCTGGCAAGCTGGCCCAGAGGCCATAAATGGTAGCATAAAACCTAACACATAAGGTTTAATCCATAGGGTGATATTCAGTAGAAGGCAATGAACATAAGTTACCCAAATCCATCAGCTTTAAAGGGTCTACTTAGGGATGGATTAATTTGTCATTTTCAGTTTTATCAGTTTCTGCCCCCCTCCCCACCCCCCAGTCTTACGTTTTCCACTTTGCTGCATCAGTTCGCATTTTAAAAGCAAAGAAAGAAGTTCCCATGGAAATTTGTCAGCATTTTAGTGTATCAGTCTCCTAATATACACATTTTTGTATGCAATTTTTCCTTACACATTTTAGCAAGCAAATTTCCTTAATATAATGTGTGTTATTTTCACAAATATATTAACTGTTATTATGTCACTATATTAATTAAGTTGCTTTCCTCACAAAGGTGACCTAAAGGGACTTCCCAAAATAATATAAGCGTGCGCGTGCGCGCACACACAATGTTTATTCATATAGATAAATATATTAGAGCAAACACATTCAGAAAAGCCTAAATACACAACTATGCAGACCAAAGACAGGTCTTGCAGATCCCAACCCACTAAAAGAAGTCTCAAAAATATATGCATGTTTATGCACGCTTTCCCTAAATAAATGCATTGTTGTACACATTGGCTGGAGAACAGCATCATGCAGTTCACCTCAGAACATGAGCAGAACAAGAATGCTATTGCTCGCATGCCCTGATTGTGGACTTCTGAGAGGGAGCAGAATGCCAGACTTCTTGGCTTGCGGCAGAAATAAAGCAACAGTCCAGAAGTACTTTAAAGGCTAGAAAATGGTTTGTTGAATAACCTTTCATGGATTTCCAAGAATGATGAATCTGACGAAGCAGACCCTAGCCCAAGACACCTTATGCCATAATAAATTTCTTAGCCTTTAAGGGGCTAGAATTGTTCTTTTCATTGTTTTGCAAAAATTGCACCTCTGATCTACTTTGCAGGGTTTTTGTGAGGCTAAAAGGGATTGAGGTACCATATTTTGTGCTCTATAAGACTCACTTTTTCCCTCCTAAAAGTAAGGGGAAATGTGTGTGCGTCTTATGGAGCGAATGCAGGCTGCGCAGCTATCACAGAAGCCAGAACAGCAAGAGGGATTGCTGCTTTCACTGCGCAGCGATCCCTCTTGCTGTTCTGGCTTCTGAGATTCAGAATATATTTTTTCTTGTTTTCCTCCTCCAAAAACTAGGTGCGTCTTGTGGTCTGGTGCATCTTATAGAGCGAAAAATACGGTAAATTTTAAATGCTATTGCAGAAAGTAGGACGGTTCAGATGAGAACTCAGTGTGCAGAGCCTATATGTGGCAAAGGATCATGAATTGCACCCTGCCTCCACACTGCACCCAGGTAAGCAGACATAGTGCTCATGGGTTTACTCTCCCAACCCATGTTTTCCTCACAGCAACCTTGCATGATAGGGTTATTTTATTTTATTACAAGTCTACATGGTTCTCCCCTCCTAATTTCATTCTCACAACAACCCTGTGAGGGAAGTCAGACTGAGAGACAAATGACCAGCTCAGGGTCACGTTCCCTCTGACGTCCCAGGTCCTAGTCAACGAAATATCCCTCTGCCTTGTTCCATGTTGTGGGGAAACAATGTAGAAGTGAATAAGCTGAAGGAGGTGGATAATATTTCCCTTCATGTCTGGAAATATATGGGGTCCCTTGTTAACATCCCTGTGTGACATCTTTAAGATGAACCAGTTCAGATTGCAGTCATATGCATATTTATCAGGCAGCAATCCTCATGGAATTAAGTGTGGCCTACTTCTGAGTAATTTAGATATTGTGGCATGAACTACCACATTGTGACAGCAGAGAGTCCTTCTGCAATAAGTTAAGACACCTTTCAGTTCAGTTAGGTGCTATGAAACCGCTTATAAAAATGCTTGAGAGTCCACAGTACCTTTGCAAAGGAGGGCAATGGGGCAAAACCCTGAACTATTTTCCCACCCTGTGACATCATTGGCTGCAGGCCCACCAGCCACCACAGGCCACTTTTCTCTGTTGTACAATATACGAGCAGGATTAAAGCCAAGAATTACGTCTCCTATAGATCAAAGGCCTTTGGCCAATATTATAGCGTGAGGGACTCCACCGTGACATTAATTTACTGCAAGTTATTGATACATAACAGAAATGTTCTGTATGATCTTTCTTCTAAGCCTGATTACCCTTGCCTGCCAGAATTTTGGGGAAGACGAGGAAGATTATATCTCCTGTTTTGGTATTGTTATTCACGGAACTGCCTTTTTGTTCTCTGTAATCCTGTCTTTTTTGAAAACACCCACCCACACATATACAACACAGAGGGCATCCTCCTTCTTTGTTGTTGTTGTTTTGCAAAAACATCAAAGGAGATTATCTGGAGATGCAGGTACATGGAGCCTGAAAAGACGCTCTAACAATATTATGAAGCTGTGTGTGTGTGTGTGTGTGTGTGTGTGTGTGTGTGTGTAGGAATTGGCTGCTTTCATAAGCTTCCAAGCCAGAATGTGGCAACATTGCTTCAGTTGAAATGAAGAAATGAAATCTGACATTTTAAAACATACATTTGCAGTTGCATATATAGAGGTACAAAGGGAGATATCAAAGGCTTGCTCATTCCATTGGGCTAAATGGCTGGGGATATTTCAAGGTATCTTACCAGCTGTCTCTTTTAACACATGCAAAGGATCTATTTAGGTTCTTCTGATACACTGCAGGTGGGGCCACCTAACTCTGTGCTGGCTTGCGAGTGCCGATAAGTAAGAGTGCTATTTACATGGGTTTATGATGGTATGGGGCTACTTGGGGGCAACTAGCGGGTTCAGGTAGTTTGTTGCAGTTTTTTGCTTTGCTGAAGTGTAACAGGGTTTGTTTGTTTTTAAGAAGGTTGGGTCATTGTTCTGCATTTACAGGCCCCTGAGACACGACAAGTTCTGGCTGTTGATGTCCATTGGGAGAATATTCAACCCAGGAGGAATAGATGTTGCCTTGGTGTGTTCTTATCCATAATTCTGTTCTTTTCCATTTCAGCATTAATCTGTGATTTTGAAGAGGGGAAAAAAATCCCTCAAAATACCTATTTAAATGCACATATTTTCTCTTAAAATATGTCTTTAAATGCACATTTTGATGCATTTAATATGTTGAGAACTATATTGCAATTTTCAGAAAAGTGCAAAATGTGGCGAGTAGTTAAGTTTTGATCTGCGCATTAGTTTGAGAGGCTCAGATCATTCATTTGTTTTGCATTTGGGTTCCCAAAAATCACATTTCCCCCTAAAGCGCCCCCAGCTTTGCAAAACGGTAGCTTCTCTAGCAGGCAGGGCTTCTTATTTTTCATGATGGCATCACAGGAAATTTGGCTTCATAAAGGCCAGTGTTCTGGAATAAGAATTGAGTCAGCCCAAATCTGGTTTATTCCACCAAATCATAGGCAGGGAACTGGGTCCAGACAGATTAGGGATGGATCCCTCATTCCTTCCCTCTCCCAGAGGCCAGCTTTGACAGATGGATAGGACAGCCCACCTATCAATCATCTGACATCATCACCTGACACCTGACAGAGTTCAAAGGAAGTCACTGTAACCAACGATCAGGTGGTTGGTGTTTACAGGGAGCCTCTGTATCAATTTGGAGGATGCGAACCAATAGTTCCCTGTCCAGGTGTATTGATTGTTTAACCACTCTGAGAACTGAAGGGAGTACCACAGCATCTCCAAGGCATTTTGGCCAAACTGGATGCCCCACAACTGTTCTGGGCTAGGGTGGGCTGTTTCATCTCCACATGTGGTGAATAACTGCCATGAATAGATAAATCGACAGAGCTACCTAGTTCTAAAACAAGCTATGTCCGTTGGCCCCATTCCATTTTAGAGAAGTGGGAAAGAAGATTAAGATGCGACCAGCAGTACCATGCATAACATTTCATGCATTCCTGGGTTTACAATGTAGCTTTTTAAAGATCTTCAGGGGAATTGCAATTAGGCACAAGAAACCGCTCCTTTTTTCCCTAGCTCTATGAGGGTGAAACTACGGTTCCTCAGATGTTTTTCTTCAAAGTGCTTTAAATGTTTGGCAATTGTACTTTATGTATGGTGAGGATCTGCCGCATGATTCACGCTCTTGTTTGTTTTCCCCAAATCGCAATCTCATCCTTGCTCAAATACTTTCAAAGGGATTTCATTGAAATCAGACTTACACAGAATTTGCAGTAACACATCGTATGGGCAATCAGAATATGTATTGGTATCATTCTTTTATTTTTATTTATTTTATTCTTTTAAAAGAATCCGTTATATAGACTAGGTTGAGAGTGTTACAGCTCTATTGCTATTTAATATGTTCCGTAAAGCTACTCTGTGGTCAGAAACGGTGCAACTACTTTGTCTCAATCCTTGTTCAAGTAAAATAAATGCACAGTAAAGAGATTTAAGGTTCTCGGAATGAGCAGCATTCCCTGAATTCAGGCTATGGCTATAAAACAATTAATCCCTCCCCCACATGGGAATTAATTGTCTTGATTTTAGAAGATTAATCGATTCATTAAGCAATTAAAAAGAACATTGGATTATCTCACTACATGGAATATTTTGTGAATATTTAATTATGGCAATTTACACTCAATCAATTAATTACACTAAATAGTTGATTAATGCTTTTGGTCCTAATTCAGACACATAGAGAATCATAACGGAGGTCACTCTGAGAAGATGTTCTGCGCAGTTTTCCTCAGAGTTCTTTAGATGTTGAACTCCCATCAGCCCCAGCCAGCATGGCCAATAGTCAGGGATGATGGGAATTGTAGTCCAATAACATCTTGAGAGTCGCAAGCCCCCTCATCCCTGCCTTTAGGGAACAACCTTTGAATAATGCTGTGATTTAATTAGACACACATGAGGCAGATCCACACCATACATTTAAAGTACATTTGACACACATTTAAAGCACATCCCCCCCCAAAAAATCTGGGAATTGTAGTTTCCCCCTCACAGAGCACCCTTAATGAACTATAGTTCCCATGATTCTTTAAGGAAAGTCATGTGCTTTAAATGCATGAGAAAGGGGATTTTCTTGTGTCTAACCACAATGCCCTCAAAGATCAGCAAGCTACATTTCCAACGCAGGGCAACATGAGATTTGATGCAGGGCTCATCCTTCCGGCATCTGCATATGCAGATCTTCCTTGCCACATCTCCTGAATGGAATGGCACCAATGGTCATTGCTTGTTTCAGAAATAACTGGAGTTGTTAGAAGGCCCCTATTCTCCTCACAGAGCTACAATTATCAGGGCAGCTTAACAAGCAGTTCCCATTCCCAGGGAATGCTGGGAATTGTACCTCTGTGAGGGGAATAGAGGTCTCCCAACAACTAACAAACCACAGCTCCCAGAATTCTTTGGGGAAAGCCATGTTTAAAGCAATATCATGGGTCTTTAAAAGTATGGTGCGGCCACTAAGTGTGATGGGCCTCACTCCCTAGTAAATGGGTTTAGGATTGCAGAGTTAGGGCTGTGTGAGTTAGAAGTGCTTTGCATGAGAGGAACAATTTCTGCTTGTGCTACGGGACTTTCCTCCCTCCGTGTTTCACCTAAATTTTGGGCTCCCCCAATTGTCCAGAGCAAATTTGAGAGTGGACATGGGGGGGCTAAGTGGGGAGAAAGCCCCATTGTGGTGGATTCCACTTGCACATTTCCTTAGTTGAATACCCCTACCTCAAATACTAAAACCTTTTTTTTAAAAAAAGGCTCCGTTCCAGCTTGTCAAAAGGCGACGATAATAAAAATGACAGAGCCAACCTGAAACCTGCTGACTGACAGGCAGGAAGAAAGAGAGAGTGAGAGAGTGAACTATTAGCTTAGCATCTGAGGAAAATGCCCCCTCAGCCTATTGCTCATAGATCTGCTTTAAGTAAACAAGCCCCTTTGGGGTCAAGCTACCCGACTTCCACTGGAGAAAAACCCCTTTCCCCGAGCAAATAAAATGTCACACCGGTTCCCCTCATCCTCGCTGCTAGCGGGGATTTTATTTAGTTGTAAATTTGCTAGATAAAGATCCCCTTTAATATTTAATGGCCCCGGCGGATTAAAGTGCACATGAATCATCAAATCATCAGCCACAATATATTTACGTCCAGAATAGGGCCAGAGGAAGGTGAGGGGGGGGGGAGAGATCATGTTTCCCTGGCAGGTTAACCAAACTGGACCTCAGATTTGAACAACTTCCAGCGCTTGATGGGAACAGAGCTGGAGGGGTGGCGGTGGTGAAGGCAATAAATATTGAATGCCGGCTGTACTAAAAGCAGGTGTGAAGTAGCGGGGATTTGTATTCTCCTTTGAAGTTCCCTTTCTCTCCACTCCAGGCCTGGTTCAAAGATATATCTACATTTTTAAGAATTCATACAGTGCTCTTAATATAGTCTGCCTCCCAACCCCACCCCACCAAACACACATACACACACAGAGAGACAAGACTAATCTTCTAACCAGCATTTGTGGGGACAGATAACCCAGCCTTGAGAAAATTTCCAGTCAGGTTTTCTTAGAAAAGCATCCACTGAAATGATTCCAACATTTTAATTCATGAGCGTCCGGCTATTTTTCTTTCCCCAGTTTGCTGAAAGAAGAAATAAATGAATTCAGGCAGAGCTGGGGACACAATGTGAATGGCATAGTTCAGTTTGAAAAGACTAAAAAGAAAAATGGGCGGTCACTGTTCTCTCCTTTTCCTCACAGACAGGTATCAAGAAGAGGGGAAAATAATAATAGAGACTAATAGGGGAGCTGAGCAGAGCCAGGAGCATGGAACGTTCCCCCACAACTTAACCCTCGTCCAGTGTGATGGATTAGAAGAGTTAGGATTGCTGTGCAAAACATGTCTAACTTTCTTGGGATCCATCCTCAACTGTTTGCTTACGAATGCAGTGCACATAGATCTCTGCACGGTTGCTTACAAAATGTGTTAAAATCGTAGGAAAGTTCAAATGCAGCAATGCTCTACAATACAATGCCAATGTTGAAAATTGCAAAAGCAGTTGTGTTGTGGTGGGGAGGTTTGTGAAAACAAAACAACCCCGTGGGGAAAAAGAAAGCAATCAACAGGCATAGACATGATGTCGACTGCCATACCTTGTGGTGATGAGTTCCACAAGTCTGGTGTGAAGAAGCAGAGTTGTGTATCTTCAGTAGACTTGGAATGGTGGGGTGGGATGCCTCTACAGTAGACATGCATTGGCAGAAGTGATTCTAGAAATTCGCCGGACAGCTTTCGCTAATTCATACATTTGTTCTTATTGTGAGGCTCTCTGGGCAGTGGTTCTGATGGGGCAATATATTCACTATTAAAAAAATGTATGTGTTGTTGTTCTTGTTGTTTACCCTCACTTTTTGTATATCCAAAGGAAAGAAACCCTGTGTTTATCATGAGGACATCTCCTTTGGAGTTACAGTTTCACTGATGTAAGACAATCTTTGGGAAAGGAGAACTTGTGAAATAGGTATGCTGGCAAACACAGGGAAATATTTAAAATAAGGACTTACCCCTTTTCTCAGAAAAAAATAATAATAATGCAAGCCTTAAGGCAACTAGTTTCTTGAAAACAGAGTATCTTACGGTTGGTGAGTTAGAAAATGAATGCAAAAACACCATCTGCTAAACTTCAGATCTATGAATACTGTGGCCTGTGGAGAATACAGGCTGTACGTGAAACTATTGATCCGCCATCTGTTTCAACACGATCCTTTAACTTTCTCTCTCTCACACAGTAAGTAATAACTGTTACTTTAGTAATTTGACATTATGCAGAGCTTAGACAGTCAGATCTCTCTTGGAAATGGTGGGCTTGGACCTGAGCAGGGATGTCTGTCAGGAAATTTGTTGCTTCTTTATGCCATTCTCTCCAGTTGCTGCGTTCCAAGGTAGGAGGGAAAAATTGTGATACTAAGGAAAATGCTTTGGGAAGCTGTATGAAATATGAGATAAAGTACATCATGTTTTGGAATGTATGAATGGTGGGACCACAACTCCCACCATCCCATGGCAAATTGGCTATGTTTTCTGGGGGTGATGGGAGTTCAAGTTCAACTACATCTGGAGGGCCATAGGTTCTCCCTTCCTGGCATAGGCTGACCAAAAATGTTAAGGAGGTCTAGACTACTGATAGACCTGCTAGTCAATTCTGGAAGTGTTCCTTCATAAGCCTGTTGCATTCCCTTTCTGTATTAATCCGTGATTTATTTATTTTTAGAAAAACAACAACACTTGAGAAATGTAGGAATCAGTACAGAAAAATAAATATATATTATTTTATAATGGAACACATATTCAAATCTAGTTTTATCGTTGTGTGCATTTCTAAACCTATTTTAATCCAATAATAATGATAATAATATTCTTCTTAACGCATTTTGGTACTTTTTTTAGTCAACAACAGTTTTGAGGTCCCAAGCCAGCCCCCCATGAAATAACTACACAGGGACACAGAATTAAGGTTGATGGGTAACATTAAGGCCACAACTTTATTGACTGCAAATTAAATGGGAGTGGTATTGGCATAGGCATTGGCATTGGCTGAAGACTATAATGGACTACTGCCCCAGTTGACAGAGTCTATGTAGGTAAACCCATCGGGGCAGCGACATCGGGGTTTTGCCCGACAGAAGATTACCGCGAGGTTCCTGTGATCCCGGCATGGCCCTAGCCCATCAAGCGGGCTTCGGACGCGATCCGGGACCCCTAGATTCCTTTAACGGAATACCTTTTGATCATTGAGGGGCACACCTCCCCTCCACACACAAAATTAAGCCAATGCTTAACCGCCAAACCTGGAAAGTTGTGATGATCGCTAAGGAGGTAGGCAAAAAACCAAGTGGCCAGTGCCAATTTGCCAAATGGATAAAAATTCCTACCCGGCCCTTGTCCCAAGACAGGCGAATCACACATAGTCCAAAGCAAGGCTGAGAACTTACACTAAGGGTGGGAGGGCGGGTGTTCAGCAGCACCAATCAAGTGCCTAGGGCACTCTTGCACTGATGCTTATATAATTCCTTAACCACCCTCACCCCTTTCGTGATTGGCTGTGACCCATGATGCCTATTTAGAGAAATGAAACTTAGACCTAGAAACGAAACCTACTTAGTCAAGGGTGTGTCCAGGGGCCCAGTCGCAAGAAGGACCGCCTTCTGAGGATGATCCCATTTGCAAAATTCAGAGAGGTGCAAAATTCATGTTCGGAGCCACAGTTTGGAAGTGCAGCTTAGGCTGGTTTACCTAAAAATTCAGACCAAACAAAATTTTCCTCTATCCCTACATTTCTCCTCAGCATACGTCCCGCTCTTCCCCATGCCCTGTTTCAACCAAGAGTAGTTGTTTTTCCTTCCATAATCCATCTGTTTAGTGAATTCCTCGTTTTCTTGCAGTTGCACATTAGGAAGTAGCTAATTGCATCTCTGTTAACAAAACACTTTTCGGCATGGAAAGCCACCCATTCGAATGTGTGCATAAATACCGCGTGAAGGGTATGAAACGCAGTTTGCTGCATAATAGCGTTAAAGGAGACTAACATTGACAGTTCCACTTAATCAGACCCCCGCCATAAATTAAAAGTTATGAAATGCTTATAAGCCCAGGGACTAAGGTGCTCAAAGACAATTACCAACTAAACATTTCATTAATGAAATTATGATTAATTATAATTACTAATTAAAATTCAGGATTACGATGTTGGTTTTGAGCATTAGTAGGAGTAACGGCATTACCATTTTAAATGAACTCCAATGGGGGAAATTATAGCACAACTCTTTTAAAAAAGGGGGGGGGGAGATACAGTCTGCTTGTAAGATTAGAAATTATTGTTAAGCCCAGAGGCACCAACATTTTCCCTGCTGGTGAACTTAAGTAAGTTTAATGTGTGCTGATTTAATAGCTAATCATAGTCTTTCTTCATCGTGGGAACTGATACCGATTTTGTGTGTGTGTGTGATAACCAAAGATAACATAACCGCTGTGCAGCTGGTGACAACGTTGCATTATAAGCTACTCAGTGTTGTTGCTGTTGCTGTTTTTAAAAAAGACATTTTGCCATCTTTTGCTTTCTATTTGTATTTGGAATTACGTAACATTATATTGCACTGAGTATTTTCCGGATTAACAATTAAAGGGGTTAGAAATTAAATTGCCAATGTAGATTTTTGTTGTTGTACAGCTGCAGGGCAGCTTGGCCAGGCACGTGCTCCACAATCACACTGAAGACATTTTCCTTTGAGTAATTAATACATAGGCATATTAGTAAATGTCAAATTCCCACAGGAACTTCCAATTTGACCTACATCGTTAAGCCTCTTTAGGATTCATTAGCCATAGACAGA